AGGGCTTGGCTCTAGCTCTTCTTTTCCCTTGCCTGGCTGGCAGCTGGCGAGATGTACAGCAGTGCTTCTGACTTAAACTAGTAAATCTGTCCTCAAGCTTGCTTCTAAACTCCTTAAAAAGATGTTTTATTTTATTCACTTGTACACGTGAAGTCCCTGAAATCATTAACATACAAGTAACATGCAGACTGAGCATGTTGTATTTATATATTCAGGGCAATTAAAGAAATGGAGCATGAGAGTGAGCAAGGGAAGGGCACACGGGAGAGGCTGAAGGGAAGGGATGGGGGAAATGACGTAATTTTATTTTACTTTCAAAGACCTAAAAAATTAGAAATTGTAATCTGTGTTTGTGCACATACATATGTGAAGGCCAGAAGGAGGTGTCCAATTCCCTGGAGTTATAGGTGGTTTCGGGCTGAAAATGAATCCTCTGGAGGAGCACCAAGTGCTCTTCACTGCCTAGCCAGTGCCCCAGACCCCTAAAATTATTTTATTAATGGGACTAAGAACCCACAAAAGAACTTTCAGCCCCGATTCACCATGATGGTGACTCATCACTTTCCACTCATTTCTGCTGACTCATGACTCCTGTCAACTCCTACTCATCAGAGCCTCTGCTGACTCAACACTTTCATTCTAACGTTCCTTCCATTCATCTCTCTGCTGCAGGCCCTAAATACTGTTACTCTTGCCCTTGTGTCCTCTTTTATCATCTACAAAAAGGATCTGAATTTTTCCATTGGTCCATCCTGATTATTGGATTTCCCACATGGCTGGCTCCCCCATCAGCGTCTGTGTGTGGTCTTAGGTGGGGCGTCCACTCCCACCCAATAGGCTGTCTTGGGTCATAGAGTACAAGGTTGAGGAAGAGAGTGAAGAAGCCCCTGAAGGGGCTGTGGTAGCAGGGCTGCAGATGTACTGGGCTCCTTTTCAGTGGAGTCATGACATGCGAGTACACGTTCTTCAGCTTTTTCCTAGAAGTACTCACACTCCCCCAACCCACCGAATTAAGAACTAAATGGCTGAGTGTTGTATGCCAAGCACCACTTTGGCTTTACATGGTCTATCACAAACCTGACCATTCCTAGAACATAGCCTCTTTGTACCTATTTCAGAGCTGAAAACTCATCTGGAAGGGATAAATAACGTACGCAAATCACGCTTCAAGCAAGGGGCAGGATAAAACCCGAAAGCTTGGGTGCCTTGACTTTCAGTGCAGCTCCCTTCTGATAAAACCCTAAGCTTGAAACTATCGTCACTGAAAGGCCCATTTACAGACTGCCCCATCAGACAATGCTGGGCTGGACTGCATGCAGGCTCAGCAAGCAAAGGCGTTCACGGCCAGTCCTGCTGACTTGATCCCCTGGATCGACAGGGAAAGGAGAGAACCAAGTCCCACAAGCTGTTTTCTGACCTCTACTCAAATGCTTGTGCATGCTCACAACTAATCAACAGTTTACTCAAACACTTATGGTTGGCCATGGCTTACCTGGGACTACCTTAACTGCTCTGAGGCTAACTTAGGTTGGCCTATTGTGGGCAAAATCAATTTAAAGCAAAAGCTTACTGCAGTGTTAAGGACCCCCTGCAGTGTAACAGACTGTACTAGTGGTGAAAACTAAGGTGGTTCTGGGGACATGCCAGGCAACGCCAGCACCTCAGGAGACTGGGGCCATAGTATTGAGTTTGAGACCAGTCTAGGCCACATAGCAAGACTCTGCTTTTAAAATGAGAAGGGGATTGTAGAGATGGCTCAACAGTTAAGGGCACTGGCTACTCTCTTCCGGAGGATGTGGGTTTGATTCCCAGCATCCACATGGGGCTAAAAAAGCAAAGACAGGAAGAAGCCCGAGTTAAAAAACAAAAACATAAGGGTTTGAAATCTCAAGTTGTCAGTCTCTGGGACATCCTGCACCAAGGGGAACAAACCGCATAACCCCAGGTAGCCTGAGCTTTACCCTCATGTTGAAGTCAAGGCGAACTAAGAAGTAATGCTGCATGCTGCTGGGAGAGAGGCCACATCCTTAAGGGACCCCATGGAAGACGCTGACAGCCAAGTTTCAATAATTTGTATAGCCTACTTTTTAAAGTCTTCCTAGGGTAAGCAATGTGCTGTGACATTGGGAGCCAGCAAATATTAAAGGCCAGATGAGCATGTAAGCTATTTTTGCATGCAATGATGTGAATAGGTGGGTGGGTGGATGGCTAAACCATGCCAGGCAGGAGATGGAAACAGCTGGCCAACTTGCTCTCCAGCAGCTTATAGTTTTACGGATTGACAGCAGACTCATTTAGGGAAAAAACAACAAATGAACCTAAGTAGCTGTTTGGCCTTCCCAGATATGACCCTTCAACAACCTCAGGTTACCAATATTTTAGGAGAGTCCATTCTTTTTTTAGGTTGTTTTTTGTTTTGAGACAGTTTCTCTTTATAGCTTGGCTGTTGTGCAATTGTTTTGTCTATCAGGCTGGCCTTGAACTCAGAGATCCTCCTGCCTCTGCCTCCCCTAGAATGTTGATTAACAAGCATGTGCCACCATACCTGGGTAGGGAATCTATTCTTTTCATCCCATCATCCAGGCCACACCAGACTCTTGCTACTGTTCTGATACCTTACTGAAAGCCCAAGATAAAGAAAAATATGGCCTGGGTGACTATGCCCTCAATCGAAGGATTGAAAAGGCAGGAATAAGAATCATTTTTCCTAAGGCTGGTGGGTATTAAGAATTCACCTGTCAGAAATGGAGACGGCTCAGCAGTTAAGAGAACCCAGCACCCCCATGACAGCTCACAATTACCTCTAACTCCAAGATCTGACATCTTCATGCAAACATACAATCAGGCAAAAACACTAATGCACAGTAAATAGAAAGAATGAATTCACCTGTCAACCGGGCATGGTGGAACACACCTTTAAACCCAGCAGTTGGAGGCAAGAGGCAGGTGGATCTATGAGACCCTGTCTCAAAAACCCAAAAATAAAGTTCACTCATCCCATGGCATAAATCTGTAATCCTAGAACTTGGGAGCTGAGGGTAGCCCAGAGAAGGCCCTAACAATGTCTCGGAAGAAAATTTTTTTAAAAAAACGACATGGAGAGGGAGACCACTGGGTAGTGGGAGAGAATCAATGATAGCTGCCCCTAAAGTGAAGACTGCTAACCTAAAAATGAGAAATGCGCAAGCTTAACTTCCACCCTGCACAAAGACAGCAGGAACGGGAAGACTTGAAAGGGATCAACGACTCCCATAAAGGAAAATCCCACCTGTAAAGATAGGATTATTTGACTATGAAAGGAAGTTAATTTTGATCCCCAAAGACAGCATGCCATTTATCCAGAGCCTGTAAGCCAAAACCTGAATTGGATTCCTCACCAACCACCAGAACACTGACACTACAGTCTCAAATTTTGTCAAGACTGAGGAACTTCCGGGTCCACTTTCGGAGGTCCCACCTTCCCTTAAAATCACCTCCAGGAAATCAACAACTGTGCTCTTACGGAAGAGGATAGCAATGATGGTTAGCAGCTCACTCAGCCAAGCAACACATGGGCGGCACCATCGAAAAACTGGACCATAGTAAAAACTTGTTTTTGTCATAGCAACTAGGAACCAATACACACATAGACCTCCTTTTAAGCCCTCTTCTAATAGACAAAATGATCAACTGATGATGAAAAGCTCAGGGTATGGATCCTGGTCTACCAACAGAGCAAGCTGGCAAGAACCAGAGCAGAGCTAGTCAGATGCCAAGAACACTCTCAACTGAAGTTCAAAGAAGGGAATTCCAAACTCTGGTCTTTCTAAAAGTCCAAGGGGCTTCTGTTATAAACTAGAGTGGCATACAAGGCTGGTGAGGGTATGTACCAGTGAGCTCTCTCTAACTATTGAATTTCACACTTCAAACTCAAGAGATCCGCCTGCCTCTGCCTCCCAAGTGCTGGGATTAAAGGCCCGAGACACCAACCACTGTCTGGCTTCACACCTATTTTAAATGTTACAGCTTGACCAAGTCCACAGCCACTGGAGGTAAGGTGACAGAAGCTGTTGGGATGGCACTTAATGGGAGAAAAGTCACGGGGAGTCTGCCCTGGGACACTGGGACCATTGCTCTTGCTCTACTCTGCTTCTGGGATGAGCTTTGTCCCACCATGTATCTTGAAGTTGTCTGCCCACCAGACCATGGACTCAGTGAAACTAGCGGCAAAGAAGCTTTTCCTCTGATATATTTTTCACAGCTAACAAGTCACTCTGACCAGGAGTGATGCCACTTGCCTATCAAGCTAGAGGCAGAAGCCAGGTGGCAGCCTAGTCAGAGCAAGTTCCAAGGCAGCCACAGCTAGAGAAACCCTGTCTTAAAAACAAACCCACCCAAACAACCTAATCTGGGACGCAGATAAATCCCAGGCTTACCTGACAACCAACTCAAGCCCCAAGCCTACCTCCAAATCTCCTTTTAGCAGCCTTTTCAAACCTTTATGTGGTTTCTCAACTACAGGGCAATGAACCCAGGGTGTTAGGTAGGTCAGCAATACCGCCAACTGGCTTGTCTTTACTTTACCTTCCAGACTGAGTCTTGATACCTAAGAAAGAATGTTTTTTTCCAGGACAACTGAGACAGAGATAACAGATGTGCCGAAGCTGGGTGATGCACAAGTCCCATGCCTCTCACTGGCAAACAAACCACAGCAAGTCCACACTAGACTCTCAAAGGGCTGCACTGTCAGTAAGCACTTTTTGTAGATGTCACTGGCATGCAAACAAAGTCTGGCCTGAGAGTGGTGCAACAAGGGGAAGCAACACACTGGTCATGCTTTCAATATTTATGCCAGCACTCACAGATGAGCACCACTGGACCCCAAGGCAGACGCAACCATCCTGGGCTGGACACAGCACACCAGCAACACACTCAAGTGATAGCGTGGTCACAGGTCTTAGTAGCTTCAAAAAGTGTCACCAGCTATTGTGCTGCAAAGATTCAAATGGACCGACCCTAAGCATAGTCCACGGAGGCTTTTTATTTATGCTTTACATCTCTAGAAAAAAAATCCCAGGATTTTCCCTCCTGTGTGTTTTCGTCTTGCTTCTTCATGGTCCATGATGCCAGCTGAGGTTGTCAGTACAATGAAGCTATGGAGAGGAAGAAAAAAAAAAAAAAACACTGGTAAGTTTAAGTATTCCAACCAACCACTCTTCACTCTGCTCACCACCACCCTTAGCAATGCTCAAGCCTGTCTTCCTGGGAGATACCCAGGGCCTGGGGAACTGCCCAGGCAAGCTGGCAAATGGCCAGAAGGCAGCAGGAATCCAAGAATGAAAGACGAAAATCTACAGGCTTTATACACTCTGCCCTGACCTCCAATAACACTGGGAACAACTAAGCTTAAAAGAAATGAGGCTGGGAACAGTGGCACAGGCCTTTGGCCTTTATATTGCAACATTTTGAAGGAACAAAGGGGTAATATCTGAGTTCAGTATCAGTGAGAATTATCTCAAATAAATAAATAAGGTTGAGGTAAAGCTGGTTGCTGTCATTAATGATGATGTGAGGCTCATCCCTAAACCCACATGGATGAGGGTCAAGCTAGTTAAAAAAAGACAGCCACTATACAAAAACAAAGAAACCTCAGTTCAAGTCCAGCCATATCCCAACTTTTCACTCCAGAAGCCAACTCACCCAAACTGACGGGATGGGAGCAGATTGTTCTGCCATTTTTCTAGGTCTTTGAGTTGCACATCAAATCTAGGGCTGATCACTCCACACTATAAAAGGAAACCAAAAGTATTAATTCTTTATACTTACTAGCAATCTATACACAAGATGGCTTTCATAACTCAAAGCTAATCACCGATATTTAACATTATTAACTTTTTCTATAAATGTCATTCAAACAACTCAATGAGATGTGGTAGCATACACCTAGAACCTTGGTACTCAAGAGGCTAAGGCAAGATGACCTAAGTTCCAGGACAGTCTGGGCTACATAAGATGATCCAGCCCCAGGAACACACCACCCCCACCTCTATATACACCCATACCCAAGGAAGACATGTATACTCACTCCTGCCTACAAGAACGAACCATGACTTACAGTCACATGGTAGTGCTTCAGAGATTGTCCCCAGAACCATCTCTTACACAGCCCAGAGACTAAGTAAAATTACTATAGAAATTTCATTTTTTACAGTTCAAGAGGGCTGCAGCTCAATAGTAGCTTGCCAAGCACACAAATGCGTGTGTACACACCAAAATCCATCTTAAGTGAAGCAGAGTTGCCCAGTAATAAACCTATAAATTAAAAGGTGCAATACAGTACATCTAAGTAGTTAGTGCCCAGCCTGAGCTGACCCTCCACACTCCTACCTTGAGGAAGGTAACAGCAGGCAGACAGCCCATTTCTTCTAGAGTGCCAACCATCCTCCAGAGAAAGCCCTGACTGCAAATTCTCACGCAGGCAGTGTGCTCCAAAAGCCACAGAATCAAGCAGGACACAGCATAGCCACAAAGAGGCTCTCACTGTTTATACTCAATAGTCCTGTGCAGCTCAATTATCCCTTCCTCTAAGAACCCAGGGTAGGACTGGAGATGGCTCAGTTAGGAGCACCCTATGGGAGCTCACAACTGTCTGCTCACACACATACAAGGCAAGCAAAATAGCCATGTACAGAAAATGAAAATAAAGAAATCATTTAAAGAACCCAGGGGCAGGATCATGGAAGAATTGGCAGTCACACTAAAATAACTACAAAAGGTGAACTTAGCAAATAAACAGTTCCAGGCTGTATCTCCCTAAACCACTCTGACCCTATTCTTCCATTGCTCCATTATCCTGTCTGCTGGCTGCCATGAACTACAGCCCCAGACATTTACTCCAGCTGTGAAACTCTCCCCAGGAGCCAGGATAGAACTTGTGCAAGCAGGGATGAGATGAAGGCCAGGCCGTCATCTACACTCACTATCCTCAGCAAGGGAACCTTCTCACCTGTGGGCAATGGGGTGAGTGAAGTTCAGAGGAAACGACCTACACAGTAGTAAGCACAAGCTGCTCTTCCTGAACCAGCTCTCCTACCTCCTACAGGCTAGTAACTGCCTAGACATGAACAAGTTTCCTAAAAACAGGAAAAAGTTACTCTCAAAAGCACACCTGGAGTGTGTTCTCACTGCAACTAGAAACAAATGACTCAAAAAGAGTGGCCTCGCCAACTCCACCATCTTCAAAAGACCTCAGAAGCAGTTGTCACTTAACTTGAAGCAAGTTCTGAATATTGAGAAGCAACTTTGTGACCTCACCAACTCAACCACTGACACTTACCAGTTTTACCCCATTGGACTAGAGCGTCTCTCAACCTTTCTAATGCTGCAACCCTTTAATTCAATGAGTTCCTCATGCTGTGACCCCCCCCAACCATATTATTACATTGCTACTTTTCCTAACTGTAATTTTGCCACTGTTCATGACCAGTTAATGTAAATAGCTGTTCCCAACGGATTTAGAGGGACCCCAGGGTAGCCACAGGATTAGCAAATTTCAAACTCCTTGGAGATCAGAAAGATATCAGCCTTAGCAACACACCATCACTGGCTCACTGTCCCAAAACACTTGCTTTTTATTAACCAGGAATTGAAGTCTATTCAGCTATGCTGATGACAAAACTGGCAGTCCAGACCTCAGACAGCCACAACCTACACCAACAAACTTAAATCAACCCTGGTGCTTAGCCACTCAAGATAGAACAGTTCCATTAAAAACATGTTCATCACCTACCTTTAATCCAACAGTGCAACAGAGGTACGCAAGAGTTAAAAGCCAACCTGTCTATTGAGGACCTATCTTTAAAACAAAACAGACCCAGCACACAAGATTGAGTGATTTATATACTAAGCCAAAGTTCAGCTACTGAAATAAGCAGCCAACACTCCAGAATCAACTGATAGCTCTATCTCATACAAAACTGGCCAAAAACTTGAACAAGCGAAAGACAACCGAAATGTGGCATTAAAAAAGAGTAACCTTAGCCAATTCCTTAAATAAGGGAACAAATCAAGAGTGAAAGCTACACTGTAACTTGCAGACAGTGGCAATGTGAGAAATAAGACTCCTCAAAGAGATAATCAAGTCTTACCTTGTTCAACCTGCCTGTGAGGTTCACAACAATTTTCCCAGCTCTGTGATCATCAATGATCTCAAATTCACCAATGTAACCTGTAAAACGAGAGACTAAGACATCAGTTCAAGACCTAAACCTTTCTGACCCCAGCACTGCTTCTTGCATAAGAGGTTTTCCCTCTCATCTGATTCTGAAAACTGCATCCCATAAAAAAAACTTGCAGGTAACACCTAAAAAAAAAAAAAAAAAAAATCAACGCACCCAATCCTCTCCTAGAATGATTATTTTCCCTCCCTTCCAGGGCTCACTCCCAGGGCCAGCTTGACTGTCAAAAACCCAAGTCCCCAATACTCACCGTGCTTCATCATCACAGTTAGGAACCGAACGATGACTTTGGAGCATGGCCTGATGAGGACCTGGCGTTTGCCTCTCTTCTCAGCATTGTTGATACTCTTGAGAGCATCCGCCAGGACATTCATGCGCACCATGGTGACTGAGGAAAGAAATATCGGGATTTGCCTGCATCAACATCCAATCGTAAAACTGGTTTCCCTACCCCCCATTAGGTTCTACTAGGTCTGAGGAATTTCCCAGGAAATTTTCATTACAATTTAGACTATTCCCCCACACCCAGTATCTATCCAAGACACTCGTGCTATAACCCAGCACGCCAACAGCTGGAGAGAAAGTGACAAAAGACTCATTACATAGAAGATAACCTTAGAAACGGTGGGCCTTAGGTAGCTAAACAGTGGAGAGGCTGTCGTTAGGAACGAAAGCTCCAAAGTTCTGGCAATGTTTGCCAAGATTTCCAAAGCCAGCAGTGTGAGCGGGCTAACGCGACTTAAGTCAATTCACTCGGGGTGTCACTTGGTACACAGCACACACACCCCATCCCGGGAGCAGAGGCATTACGTGACCGCGCACCCAAACGCGCTCTTGCACAGCCACGACGTAAAGGCTAACTCCACAGCTCGTAGGGACGCAGCCAAGGCATGTTTTACGCGCCGAGAGTAAACCACGGCTCGATTCCCTAACTTAGCAGTGAGTGGCTGGACAGAACCCCGTGCTAACCCTCGCCAGGACCACGTAGGGCACTCGGGACTTCAGAGCGCCCGCAGACACGAGAAGCTGCAGGACCCACGGCGGCCACCGTCCCCGCCGGCGCGGGCCGAGTTCAGCCTGCAGCTGCGGACCGGCTCCCGCAAAGAGCCGGCCATGGCGGCCCCGAGCCCGGCAGACGGAGGCTGCGGCCCCAGAAGGGGTCTATAAGCCCTCGGAGTTCCGAATCCGTGCCTGAGGTAAAGGGATGGCGCGGATACCGGGCGGATGAACAAGGAGCTCCGCAGATGATCACTCACCGGCGCGGAAAGATGGCGGAAAGAGGGTGGGAGGGCCGAACGCACGGAGTTATGGGAAGCGGAAGTGCTATCGCGAGATTTCGTGGTCACCCACCCAAAAAAAAAAAAAAAAAAAACCCACTATGTTGGCGATCACTTCTTATTGGAAGAATAAGGCAAGGGAGCGGCGTTCTCGGGCAAGAGCGGTTGAGACTGGAAGAGACGGCCTCTTAACTCTGGGCTTTGCGCTGTAGCTGAGGGTGGTCTGGGACTCGCGGCAGGCCTCCTGCCTCAGTTTCTAGGGTTGGCATTAATACCACAGCTCGCTTTTTCTTGAGTTTTTGTTTGTTTGAAACTCATTAGATAGTTCGGCTGGGCTGGAACTATGTAAACCAGGCTGACTTCCTACTTTTGCCTGCCTGCCCCCTAGTGCTGGGATTAAAGGCATGCTCCTCTGGATAGAGAGGAGATTGGACGGTTTACAAAGGTAAAAGGGGAACCCCCCACACCATGTTAAGGTGAGGTGTTTAATTTTGATTGGATAGGTTAGTTAGGGCAGCCGCAAGGGGGTTGTGTTGGTTGGACCTCAATACTTTGATAGCTGGACTTTGGTTGGTAATCAGCCTCAGGAGAAGTGGCCGAATAAAGGATCTTGGTGGCTAGGTTTAGGAATGTGATCTAGGGGCTGGAGAGATGGCTTAGTGATTAAGAGCATCATCTGCTCTTCCAAAGAATCTGGGTTCAATTCCCAGCACCCACATGGCAGCTCACAACTGTCTGTAATGCCAATTCCAAGGGGTCTGACACCTTCACACTAATGCACAAAAAAAAAGAAAAAGAAATGTGATCTAAGACAGAGCAAATGGGGAAGAAGGAAAGGCCTGCCAGAGCCATGTTTGTCAGGCTTGGGTCAGCTACAGTCCCTTCACCTTCAGTCTGTCTGTTTCTTCGTCTCTGTTTCCAAGGTTTCTCTGTGTACCACTGGCTGTCCTGGACTCGCTTTGTAGACCAGGGTGGCCTCCAGCTCACATAGATAGATCCACCTGCCTCTGCCTCCCAACTTTGTGCTACCACCACTTGGCACCTTCTCTCATCTCAAGGGAATCTTCATTCCCGGTCATAACTCATACCACACAAGGAACATTTGCTTATAAACATGGTTTATAAGGATTTTGGGCACAGGTCTGACTATACTATTTCATACTGATCTCAAAGTTACTATCCTGTTTCAGTCTTCCAATTACCTTGATAGACTAGCTTCTCATACACTTACCTTGTTTTATTTCCTGAAAGTGTGCGGTTTACTTTCCTTTAATGCCTTAGCAGCAGGCTATGGAGTTAGGAAAACATCTATTAATTTTGGGGGGTTGTTCTGGCTTTTTGTTTTAAGATGGTTTTGTGTGTGAGTAGCCCAGGCTGTCCTGGAACTCACTCTGTAGACCATGCTGGCCTTGAACTCAGAGGTTCACCTGCCTCTGCCTTCAGAGTTCCAGTGCCAGGATTAAAGACATGCAACACCACCACCCCAAAAAGATTTATGTATTTTATGTGTATGAGTGCTCTGTCTGCATGTTTCCTGCATGCCAGAAGAGGGCATCAGATCCCATTATAGATGGTGTGAACCAACATGTGGTTGCTGGGAATTGACCTCTGGAAGAACAGCCAGTGCTCAGAACAGCTGAGCCATCTCTCTAGTGCCAACGTCTCTTATTTTCAAGTTTTCCACAGAATGAACACAATGTCTTTGTATACTGCATTCCTCCCTTTAGCTACTCATCTGAGTGCCTAGCATGTGCCAACTCTTACACCAGGTACTGGGAGTCAAGGAGCAACCCCAGCAGTTCCAGTGCTTAGGAAGTTCCGTGTAGCCAGAGACAGCTAGTCAAGATAGGGCCGCAGCCATGCAGGGTGGCGAGGTGAGGTGCTCTGGGGATGCAGGTTACCTGGGAAGTTGCTTCAGCTTCCCTAGAGGAAGGCTTCCATAAGCTTAGCTGTTAACAAATGGTAAGAGCTGTGATACTGTCTCCATGTCACAGTTAAGAAACCTGGATGGTGGGGAGAGGTGGTAATTAACTAGTTTAGGATAGCAGTTAGGTTTCATGGTGGGGATTTGGCTACCTACACAGAGTCTTGCTCTATGACCTTGGCATGCCACAGCATCTGGATGGCTCTACACTCATGAGGAATTCCTAGAGGAAGGGGGAACTTGTGTAGAAATCAGTAAGAAACTAGGGATGGCTGGTCTAAAGAGAAGTGGAACAAAGAACCCTGTAGAAACTGCCTCATTTGTGATTTCTTAGAGGCAAATTAGAACCTAGTGACAGATGAGATGCTGGCATTTAACTACCATAAAAGCCCTTTTAAAAAGGAGGCCAGATGAAGTGACACAGGGCTGTCATCCTAACACTTAAGAAGGTGTAAGGCCAGCCCACACTTTACATGACCTGTCTAAAAACACAGAAGTTCCCACACCAAACAGGGCATGGGGAAACTTCCAGGATCCATTCTTTCCTTCTTGGCCTAGCTCATTCCATGAGAGCCTTAGAACGATAGAACCTCATGAGGACCCTCAGACTAGTCTTGAAAAGCATTTTGGCTATGGCCTGAGGTAGCAAAGGATAGGATAGCTATGGTTCAGCACACATATAGCTGACCTGAGCAATAAGTACAAGTGCATGGTTAAGAACCAGCGTTTCTTTTTATGATTTTGAATCTTCTGAACAGTCTTCCTGGTAGACTCACGAAATTACAAGCCAGCAAGCAATTTCAAAGCATCAAAGCACAGGATTTGTGATGACCTTTGCTTGAGCCACCTGAAAAGGATCCATATATGCCTAAGGGTGAATCCTGTTTTCAATGAGACCCCGAGTAATAACACCCAACTTGAGACCTAATTTAGTTTTTGTGACAGGGTTTCCTTTGTGTGGACCAGGCTAGCCTGAACTCAAGAGATCTGACTGCCTCTCAAAGTTTTGGGATTATAGGCATACACCAGCACACCTGGCTGAGGCCTAACTTTAAAATGCAAAGTCTCCTACTGACCATTATCAACCACTGTGTTGGAAGAAGTACATGCTCTTCTGACCTCCCCTCATATCTTGGGGTAACTTCCTCTTCAGTAGTTCCCTTTCCAACTAGCATGGTGCCTGAGTGCTTTAAGGTAGCTTAGAGAGCTATAATGACAACAGGGAGGTCCCTAATCAGATTTACAAACTCGAATAGTTAACAAAGAAAGTGAGACAAAGAGATACCAACTTCTTTAATTTTTTCCCCCTTTTGCACAAAACAAAATAGAAGAAATGATTAAAACTGCTGAAGTAGTTAATTGGTAGAACATGTTCTATTCACATACACAGAGAGAACTCCAGGTAGGAAGGCAGGCTTATTTACAAGAAAACATGTAAAATTAAGGTCGATGTCATGAAACATTAAAAAAACAAACACACACATGCCACAACTGGTGCCACTGTTTACAGTGCTAGAGAGGTGAGAGAGCAGAGGCAGATACACAAGGTTCAGGCTTCACAGCATCAGTGCAATGGATCCACAAACTATGTTACAGCTAGTTCAGAGGTGAAGGAGTTGTTCCCACATGTGTCCTGTTTTGGCCCTCAGAGGTTCAGTCCTGCAGATTTCAACTGCGCTAAAAGTATACCTAAGAAGAGGCCACATTAAGGAGTTGCAAAAGCTACACAGACCAAAGAGTCAGCATCAGCAGTTCCCAGCTGCAGCCCTGCATCTTTCTGGGAATTGTCAAACACCAGTGTGTACGCTGTCTCAAGTACAAACCTAGAGTGACTGAAATACAGCCAGTACTATGATACACAGAGAGAGGCTTATTTTTAAAGGCCTTTGTTTCTGGTCTTAAAAATTAATAGATGCTCTGGTTTTCTACTGAGTGAACAAAGGAGACTTCTGTCGCTGGCTGGCCTTGGAGTAAAGTCACAAACATTTTAAGTCAGCTGAAAATCTGAAACAAAGACAGTGCTAAAATTACCAAATACAACCTTCTGGAAGCTTGTTGTTCAAAAGCTGTTAAGGACTAACTTGAAGCAGTGCAAAGGGAATGAGAATTGAGCCTAAGCCTGTCAGATTCCTCATGTGAACAAAAGGGCAATGCTTTCTAAAACTGCTACATTTTATACAAGTGGAATTAACTTTATCCTGTTCCACGGGCATTCTCCCACAGTGGAACATCGGGAATGAATCTTAAGTGGTCTCTTGGTCAAAAGTGGTAAACCTGATCTCTGTACTCACAAAGACAAACAATTTAAGCAGACTGTGGAAGCAGACAGTAGAACCAGCTTCCTGTAGCCACAGACCACTACCTTGAATATAGCTAAAGCAAACATCAACAATTATCCAGTCACAGTTCACTGTACAAAACAGTAAAGTTCACCACTTTAGTATTTTAAATGAAGTCAAAAACAAGAATTCAACAAAACAATTTATACTGATGGAAATGCACCCAGCTACACCTGGCACTAGACAGAGCACAAAGCTGGCCTGTGTGCCTATCTATTAACAAGGGCAGAGAGAAAAACAAAAAGCCACTGTTAACATTTCAGTATCCAGACAGCACTGCACAACTGTTCCCAGGGGCAGGGCATACTCCCCTGCAGCCGCTTCATTCATTTTTCTTTTCTTTTTGCTTGAGAAGCTTGTTTATCTCTCTTTTCGCCATTCCAATGTACTTCAAAATGATTCCGTGTTGGTTTAGTCCAGGAAGCAACAGCACAAAAGTCACTTAAAAAAAAAAAAAGTTGAGGAGACAATATTTAACCCTCTGAAGATTATCACAGACGAAAGCAGATAGACTCTGGAGGAAGGAACATGAAATTCATACTCTTGCCACTGTGCTATCCTACTACTGTTCGTTCACTTTCTACAAGGCTTTAATAAATGCCATGAAAACAAGAACCAGCCTTTTTCTTCTTTAAGAATTTTATTTTACATACATACACAAGTGTTTTGCCCAAATGTATGTATGTGTACCACATGTGTGCCCAGCCTGCAAATGCCAGAAAAGGCTATCAGACTCCCTGAGATTGGGGTTACAGGCCTTGGGGCAACAGCACTCAAGTGCTAGGAACTGAACTAAGCAAGTGCTTTTAATTTTTAACCAGGGAGACCTAGCTTAAGCCGTACTTTGAATCTTTTTGCTTGAGACAGCCCAGGCTGGTTTTGAACCTGACATGGAGCAGATAGCTGGGGATGACCTTGATACCAAGGGCTGGAACTACAGTTTTATCAAATACTGGTTATCAAACCCAGGGCATGGCACACACAGGACAAGTACTCTGCCAACTGAGCTATGTCCCCAAAGCAGGCTGCAGTCTTCAGCCCTAGCCAGCTAACACTCCCACAAGTCCTGTGAACACTCCATCTATGTACTGACTACACTATAGTTAGACTTCCCTGCTAAGAAGCATGTGTGATGTTTCCTCAAAGACTTACCAATCAGGTAGGTAAGGAGCAGGTTGTGGACTTGCTGTCCCACCCAAGCAATCGCAGCAAGAGAAATGATCATGGTCACGAAGTACTGGCAAGAAAACAACAAGAACTTGTCGGCTCTGAGCGGCAGACTAGCAAGGACAACTCTGCAGTATCCCCACTCTACACTGCCCACAGCTGACCACAGCATGAAGGCTTGTCTCACCAAAGCATCATGCTGTGCTCCACACATACAGCTGCGTGTGTGAGTTCAGTTTCCTTTTAAAGGCTAGGAAAATAACACCATTTTAGTTACTTTTCTTTTACAGAAGAATGTGGATTATATTTCCTCTTAGAATGATTGTGTCTATATAGATTAATGCTTTAAAATATAAACTAGGCCACCTTTCCAGTTAGCAACTTACCACCAAATGAAAGCAAAGATATGAGAACATGCTTTTAATGTATGTATATATTACTTCAGCAACAGGAAAAAAAAATTATCTCTATTAGAATAAAAAGTTATATGCAAAATGTAACTTTTACCTTTCAATGTGGTTCAATGGTTTAGTCTACCACATAACATTTATGAATATAAGGAAGCATTAAACCAAAGGGTAGTTACTTATTGGAACTTTATACCAAAAAATGCTGTCTCTAGACTAAAATCACAATGAATATATAAACAAAATACCATTTTAGGCTTTTCTTCCTTTAGCGAAAAGAGGCGTTTCCACCAGCCCACAGCTCTGCGTCGAGTTTTTACTAGATTACTGCATATTTCATGAAATCGTTGCTGTTGTTCAGTGGTCCTAGAAAAGATTTTTCTTTTTGTTATAAGTAAATGGCAATAGCTTATTTACTCATTTAATTTTCCTGAGACAGAATCTCACTTTCTAACTGTAAAGTTCTAAGATTACAGGGCATGAGCCACAACCCCAGCTAATAGTTAAGATGCCTAACCCTCCTGTTCTACCTCCCAATCGCTGAGAGCACAGGTGGGTGCCTCCTGTGACAAGAATTATCTTTTGGGGCTGGAGAGATGGCTCAGAGGTTAAGAGGACTGACTGCTCTTCCAAAGGTCCCGAGTTCAACTCTCAGCAACCACATGGTGGTTCACAACCATCTGTAATGAGATCTGGTGTCCTTCTTGTGTCATGCAGGTGTACATGTAAGCAGAACTCTGCATACATAATAAATAAATAATTTTTTAAAAAAAAAGAATTATCTTTTGTTTGTTTGTCAGTTTTTTGAGACTGGGTTTCTCTGTGTAGCCTTGCTGCCCTGGTCTCACTTTGTAGACCACGGAAGCCCCAAACTCAGAGATTTGACTGTCTCTACCTCCTCAGCTAAAAATTATCTTCTAAAGATGGTAAAAATAAACAACGATCACCCTTATGTATGTAAAAGAGTGCTTTCAATTTTTAAAAATTGTGTTACTTTTACTTTACATGTGTGTTTTGTCCACATCTTTGTCTATACACCACATGGATGTGGTGCCTGGTATCTAAAGAGGACAAGAGGGTGTTAGATTCACTAGAACTAGAATTATAAACAGTTGTAAGTACTGTGCTCAAACTCAGGTCCTCTAAAGAGGAGCAAGTGCCCAAAGTGACTATGTTTTAAGACACCTTTCACAGACGGGAATACATTTTACATAAAGTATGCCCATGTACATTTTGTTGTTGTTTGCTTGTTCCTAGATAGGGTCTCTCTCTGTAGCCTTGGCTATCCTGGAACTTTCACTGGAGAACAGGTCTCATCATGTAAACAGAGAGATCCACCTGTCTCTGCCTCCCAAACCTTAGGATTAAAGGTGTGAACCTCTTTATTTATTTTATTTTGGTTTTTCAAGACAGGGTTTCTCTGTGTATCCCTGGCTGTCCTGGACTCACTTTGTAGACCAGGCTGGCCTCAAACTCATGGAGATCCAACTGCCTTTAAGTGCTGGGATTACAGGCATGCGCCACCGCACCAGCTCCTCATGTACATGTTCTTTTTTGTTACATTTAATTTACATTATGTATCAGTGTACACAGGTAAAGAGTGTACAACATGGGGTGAGTGTGGGTCAGAAGACAAGGCAGTCCTCTCCTTCAACCTTATGGGCCCCAGGTTTCAAACACAGGCCATCAGGCTTTGTAGCATGCACCTTTACCAGCTGATCCACTCCATCAGCCCATGTCCATCCTTCTAATAGATAATGGTAAAGTTCTAAAGCCACACTAAATTAACTATAACAGGAGTCGTGTCTTCAATGGGCTGTGTCCACGGTACAAATATGGTTTTTCTATTTCAGTTTATCTTCAGCCCCAAGTGAATGAGCACTGTGTGCCCACCACTGCTCCAAGCAGCTGCGTCGACTATCTGTAGGAGAGTAATTTCTACACCAGGTCGGCAAGATGACTCAAAAGATAAAGATGCTTGCTGCCTGGTAACCTGAGTTCAGTCCGCAGAACCACATGGAAGGAAAGAAACACTCTGTAAAAAGTTGCCCTATCACTTCCACATGTGCCATGGTACACGTGCACGTGGGTGTGTGTACGTGGAGGAGATACACACACACACACACACACACACACACACACACACTTTAGGAAATAAGAGCCCAATCCAAATTCCTTATGAACTCAGTCCCAATGAGCACCGAAGAAAACAGCAGGAAAAAAAAAAGCCCTGTTTTCTGGATACTGAGGACCATACCACTCTTTCTCCTCCAGTGTGAGCCTGGCAAAGAGCAGCAACAGTGGGATGATTTCTCAGTTCACCCAAGCTGTCACCAAGGCTAGGCTGTGCTTACAGTGTTCTTTCTTTCCCACAATATCATCCCAGATAATCAAAACACAAAACTTGCCCCATTCTTGCTGTTTCCCCAAACTATCTGTTTAGCTCTGAAGACTTTCATGAATTGCTGTCTGGCTAATGTCAAGGTCATAAACTTCCCAACAGTATTAACTCCTCATGGCTAGGATAAAGCAGTTTGAATAAAAAATCCTAACACTGATCCATTAAGTAAGTAACATGCTTACTTAAACTACAGTTTAAACTAAATTCCCCAAATTATGTGAATTTGTTCTTAAAGATCCAGAAGGTACACATTAAATGTTCTAACTTTCACAGATTATATAACTTGCCATCATTTGGAAACAAAAAGATTAAGGATACAAGCAGAACACTATTCAACTGAAAATGTCAGCTGATAGAGAAAAATTATTCCAATATCTGCTTCTGCTCATTGCGTATGTTTTTAAAAATCTTCCAGCTGCAAACAGAACTTAGGGTACCATGTGTTCTGGGAAAGCACTCTAAATACTGAGTTACACCTCCAACGCCTGGCTCGTTGTACGCCCCAAAACACTGTTTGGATCCAACATTCCACAGGAAGTTCAAATAGTTAATGTAATCCTTAACCACTTAACTATAATCTTAGGAAGGCAAAAGTAATCATTCAGAGAATGGTAAAAACGAAATCAACAGCTCGTGTATCCAGCCAGTGTCAACTACTACCCCTGCACTGCCTCAATGCACCACCTCACTCAGCCTTAAAGAAAACACCTGCTTGGTTTGTTTTGCAGGTATGTGGAGGAGCATCGAGTGTGCCTCTGACAGGATACCCGGGTAGCCCAGGCCCAGAGCTTGTTATGGTTACACGGCCACTCCGGTCTTAATCTCACAATGTCTGTCTACTTGTAGAGAGACTTTTGTTGTTTTGTTTTTTGTTTTTTTCAAGACAGGGTTTCTCTATGTAGCCCAGGCTGTCCTGGAACTTGATCTGTAGACCAGGCTGGCCTTGAACTCAGATATCCCCCTGCCTCTGTCTCCCAAGTGCTGGGATTAAAGCTGTGCACCAGTGGAAGGCAAGAACTAACATGTGGGGTGCCCTTCAACCTGCTTTTAGGTTGCCATAATGACCTAATACTGTTGTGTTTGGGGAAGGTTGGTGACTGTACAGTGTAATGCATTTAGAGAAACAGCCACTGACCTTGGCATGAGGTTATCCTCACGTGCACACACTCACAAACAAGGACTGAATCATTTACACAGACTGAGTTCAAGGTCCATGAAGGGGCCTCAGTAGGCAAAGGTACATGCTGCAAAGCCTTTTGACTTGAGTTCAATCCCTAAGACCCGCATACGGTAGTAGGAGAGAACAAACTCTGCAAAGTTGCCCTCTGACCTCTACATACATGTTATGCTGCATGTAACCCCACCACTGAATAAATAAATGTAATTAAAAAAAAAAAAAAAAAAAAGGCGTTCTGACACAGTGACATACTACAGCTTCCATGATGAGATGTTTTCTATGGTTTGGGGTTTTTGTTTGCTTGTATATATATTTTTGTTTTGGAAGGAGAGGTGGCAAGGGTCAGGGGTAGGTATGCGGGAACAGGGATGAGAGGGGCTGCTGCATGATGTGAAACTCAAAAGAAATCAATTAAAATGTTTTTAAAGTTGTATTATTCTTATTTAAAACATCGCCTTTAAAAAAAATACTCTTACTTTAAATATAGAAGTAAAACTGAATAGACAACAACAAAAAAGCAAGTCTGTGACCAAAGTGAGCTACAGAGATGTAAGTACTGAAATTTCTTGATTTACACTTGAAATTAGGTTAAAAATTCTTCACATAAGAGCAATGACTCTAACTGCAGCAGGCATCGATGGTCAGAAAACAGTCTTCATTTTAACCACAGTACACTAATCATACATAGCCACCTACCATTTATTAGAGCCAAAAATCCTTGGTGCTAGAATGGGAACAAGGTAGTCAGCCAGGCACAGAAACATAACAAAACAGGAAACACCGGACAGCACAGATGGATCGAGATAATAGATAATCCTATTAAAAAGAGAGCAAATCAACCAAGGTTAGACAGCAGCCATTCATTGTTCCTAGTCAAAGATGTCTGCTCCCTAGCCCACAGCTTTCAAAGACGGTGCTGTTTCCTTTCTAATTTCCTCACAAGTGGTTTTCTACAGGCATCACGGCACGATGTTGTCACAGCTAGCCTGGTTAGAGTGAATAGCAAGAGCCCAAAACTCCAGGGTCCTCAATATTTATTAGAAAATAATATAAAGGAAGCCTGTCAAAACACAACAGTTTGAGTGTCTGAGATTTACTCAGGTGTATCAGGTTACAACTTTACATAGGCTCTACAAATTCTAGCAACTGGGCAAGCTGCTTGAAAGAAAGGCATTCCTTCTGGATTAGGCATTACAAAAGCTTTTCTAAGCACAGGCTATGAACCAACTGAGCATTTAGTTAAGAATCCCACACTTACAGGAACAGCAGGGAAACCACACCCATGATGGCAGGTGGAAACCAGGCTTTTTCCCATCGAAGGACTTTGTCAGCCATCAGCATCACCTCTCCCCAACCTTGCAGCTGCTCCTCCAGACTTGCAGTCTCCACAGCCTACAGATCAACAGTCAAGGGTGTCACTTTGCCAATCTCAACATGTTAGTGGCTCAAATACACATAAAATATCTTTTAACAAACTGTTATCTTACGCAAGCTGAGTCATGAAAAACTGCAATGTTGGCACCAAACATGAAAATCCGTGGGTAGGAGAAAGCCTAAGCTTTAATGGTCACTTTAGCACTGGGCCATATGTCCATGATGTAACAATACTTCCAAGTTTCACATGGGGATAAATATTTCAGTATTTATGAAAGTGAGCTTAATATGGTTAGCTAATATCCCCGAGTTCACCCAGGGTCATGAGGCAGTGCTCCAAATATTACTAAATAGGATACTCTGTTCCTATCAGGTGGTTGGCATTGATCTGTTGACTGGTCGTTTTATTGATTTAAGCCATTCTAAATCCATCAGGAGAACCTTTCCCTTAACAGTAAGTACATACGATCTCTAAAATAGCTCTTTGTATAATGGAATTACTCCAATGTTGGCAGTCACTGTGGAATTAAAGAAAACTACTAAATAATGTGAGGCACCTAAAGTCGTCCATAATGGTTCCTCATCAGCAATGAGGGAATTTCAGTTAAATTTCAAATTTCTCCACATATTTGACAACTAGTCCAAAGCACACCTTCAGAATGAGCTATTGTGGTCTAAAGCCTGCAAGAACTTTGGTAAAGAAAGGAAATTAGAACACAGCAGTTGCTCAGTATGTGCAGGGCCATGGATTCCCCCTCCCAGGAACCACAGACACACAAAGCCCAAGTGACACTATAAATTTTTCACAAAGAAATATTCAAATGATAGAACAGTCTGGGCTAATTTTAATAAAGATGAGATCTGTGATTAAGTACTTCTGCTATCACCCCAAACTAGAGATTCTAAACATTTCACTTGCTATACTTCAATTAATGCTCCCAAAACTGGAAAAGGTATTTTTACAACCTCTACTTTATGATGAGACTGAGACACAAAGAGGTTAATATATTTAAATCCAGAAAATATAAAACCAATGGCCTTGCTCTCCTTAAAATGATACTGCTTTGAGGAAAATAAGTTAGTGATCAGGCCCTCTCCCAGGACACTTTCCTTGTACATCAATTAATCCTCTTACTGAACTGTTTGCTGGTTGTGTGTGTAAGGAAACAAAGCATGCAGCAATGCAAAGTGAAAATCTTTCACAATCAAAACTGTCCTGTAGTCACTGAACTTGTCGGCATTTAGGCTCTTAGAAGTGCAAAAGCAGAAGTTAAAAGCTGGTTGCTCTTTTTTTTTTTTTTTTTTTTTTTTTTTTTCTGATATGGCCTGCCTTTCCTTGGCGAATGACAATAGAGAAAATAAAAGGATCTCCCGTTCTTGCCTAGGTGGTGCAGTTAAATTTGTAAAACTAGCAGGGCCTGGTGATGCGCAACTGTTAATCCCAGCACTTGAGCGGTGGAGACAGGTGAATGACAAATGTAAGGCTAGTCTCGATACTTAGGTCAGGACCAGCTTGGCTATATGAAACCACGGCCTCAAAAACAAAAAAACCCGTAACGCAGCAAACAGCTCCTCTAACAGCTCCTTCAAACCCGTGCTAATCATTTTAAAGTTGCGTCCAGTCATATGAGTCCCTCCCCCGTTCCGAGACAAGTGCCAGGACCACTCCAACAAATTCTGTTTAGCGATAAACTACTTCTCTGTAGTTTGGCCCTCCATCCTTGCCCAAGTTTTAAGGGGAAAAAAAAACCTCGCATACAAGCAATCTACGAAACACCAGATTACGATCAAAGAGGGCGGAACAGGTAAGTCTGAGGCCTGAGCAAGGAGCGCTAGACAAGGCCCCTGGCGGCCGAGTGCCCCAACCTGCCGACCAGGTTCCTTCTCGCCACGGACCCCTTCTCACACTTCCTCATGCCTGGTCCAAACCCGGTCGTGCTCGCTCCCCAGGGGACGTTGGGGAGCCGCAGCAGGGACCGCCACCACGGATGTGGGCAGGGAACTGCAGGATCAGGCCTGGCTGCCCCTGGAGTCCGCCGAGGCCAGGAAGCCAAGCCGGAAGCCCTGAGGCCAGGCTGACGACCGCGACTCACCAGCAGGTTGCTGCTGCGGTTATCCCCCTCCGCCATCGTTCCAGACGCGCGGTCTCAACGAACTGAAACCACCCTCCGCGGACACCAGCAAGGCGACCCAAGCGCAGCCGAACGCCCCGCGGACGACTTATATGGGTTAGCTGCCTTTCCCGACAGCCCTCGCGAAGCTCGCTCCTCATTGGGCAGCTCGCACTCCGACTTCTGGGAAGCCAAGCCAACCGGCACCGAGTGCATGACTTGAAATCCAGGTCAAAGGAGAGCGAAACCGTGCGGGGCTGCAGGACTCTGACCAATCAGAGCACAGAGGTGTGGCCCGCTGGAGGCCGAGCAGAAAGAAGCGGTTCAACCGCCTCGCTGGCCTTTCGGCCCCACGTCCCTGGCTGTCTTCCGCTGGATCTCCAGGCCGCTGAGACGCCCGTCTGCACTGCTGAGGAGTGGAGGCGGCGCGGTGCCGTGCCTTGCGGAGGCTGGAAGCGCGGAGGACGCTTTAGGCTCCTATGGCGCCTGCTAAGGGAAGACTGGCGGCCCCCGCTTGACAGCCAAGTCTGTGCCCGGCGTCGCTGCCATCTGGCCGCAGTTAACAGGCCTTTTGAGAACACGGAAGATGCACGGACTCTTAAAGGGCTTCCTTTGGAGCCAGTGTTTGGAGGGGGCTCTTCACTTAGACATAGATCGGTCTATGCGCATTTCAGGTAGCTCGGAGAGCGCTTCAGTTGGAGGAGTGGCTAAGTGGATGAGTAATTCAGATGATGGAGCGCTTCAAACGGATAGATTAACGGGTGTGTGGGGAAACCATGGTAATACTGTCTCCAACTATTTTTTATCCAAAAACTTAAAAATACAATTCATTACTTATCAGGTTCTTTAAAGCCCTTGGAGGTTTATTTAGTACTCCTAACTAAACTGGACCATGTTGGTTCTATGAAAGGGGCATGCAACTTGTCAGACCTTGTGGAAAGTATTTGGATAGGGTACAGTTTTGGCTAGGAAGGAAGCTCAGGTAAGGTGCTACTATTTCGAGGAATAGTGCCTGTGTGCTTGTTATTATGACTCGGGAAAATTTAAAGCCTAGAGTTCCCTCCAACAAACGAACCCAGGCTGAGCACCGAGGTGCCCACCTTGCTAGTAGCCCAAGAGCACCCACTTTCCTAAGAGAGGACAGAGTAATAATAGGTTTTTAAGATCTGTCATTTCTAACTTTTCGAACTTGGCTATTGCTCCAGAAAGCTTCAGCGTTTAATCGTGTTCCCAAAGTACAACTACAGGCCAGCTGCTGCGGCTGATGTGGATGGAGCCCAAGAGCTGTTTCTCTAGAGCACTTCTGTTGAGCATTCAGGTCCAAAATCCAGCTTTCACTAATATTCCATATAGCTTAGGGATTAAAAACACCTCTTCAGAATTTTTTTGTACCACAAAGAGAAGTGACCTTCTGAAATATGCCAGATAATGAAGCGAATCTTAGAACCTTGGGAAAAGAACTCTCCCAGATAATCCCTTCCTTCAGAGGTTTCACTCACAATAATCTGCAGGTTTTTTTAAATTATTGCCAAAATTATGCTTCATACATTATTTTGTTTTTCAAGACAGGGTTTCTCTTTGTAACACTGGCTGGCTGTCCTGTAGCTTGCTCTGTAGACCAGGCTGGCCTCAAAAATCAGAGATCCAGCTATCTTTGTGTCCCCTGGGATTAAAGGCATTGATTTTTATCTAAGAACTTGCCTACTGAAATAAAATTTTCACTGCTCAAAAAGGAGTAAAATAATTTTGGAGATTTTTAATTTGAAGAAAAAAGAGGAAAAAAAAAAAGCACAAAACTCCTATCTATAACAAACTTTCTGAGATCTACTTCAATAAATTCGGAGCTTAAATACTGTATCTTTTAAGACTTGAACCTTTATTTTTTGAAAAACAGGTATTTCATACAATCTTTACCATGTTAATGCAAAGTAGGCATGTGTCATTTTTCAAAAGATGCATTATGGACATTTTCAGAAAGCTGGTGTGATTCAATTTTTAATCTTAAATACAAGCACAAAATTATATCCACCAGGAGGCATTACAACTTAAAAAAAAAGCCACTATTTGTACAATGTTACTAGGACAAGGAAGATTTGGTTCAACTCAGTCTTAAATAGGGGTTAAAAGAAAAAAACAAACAAACATGAAATGTGATGTCACTGTCACCTGACATTCCAGGTGGAAACATTAAGGGACTTGTAAACTGAAAAAGTAAGCAATACCATAATCTGAAACAGGAGCTGAAACAAACTGTCAGAAAAAGGGAAAACAACCACTGTTAATCAGCCTGTTTTGGAAAAATGAAATTTATTTCAGGACAATATCCAATTCTTTACCACCTTCAAATATCCAGGTGATTTTGAGGTTTTAACATGAGCACTAGAATTTCCCAGTGAGCCCCAATTCTCAAGGTTTCTCTACATGGTTGCCTTTTTTAACCCAAGCTCAGTTTGCTTTTTGTAAATAGACAGTGACGTTTGCCAGGCCCCAAAGCAGGCCAAGTACAGTGAACAGTGTCCTGCCTCCTCTTGAATCTTTGCAAAGTGCTGTGATGCTCACTGGTACTTCCTAGGAGGAATCTTCCTATCCTGTCCAGTTAACTGAAGATAAAGTCTTCAGGACTAGTGTGTTAATTTTTGCCTCCTTGATTTAGGGGGAGGGGGGTATAAATTACTGGCATTTTATAAATTCAACAAGACATAAAACAATGTTTTCGTCTTCATCTGAACATGTGAAATAGATGTTTCAGGGTGCTAGATCTAAGGGCTAGGATGTATGTAGCCTAGCAGGTGCAAGGCTCCACCCCTGCACTGCAGGAGATCCAGCTAACAGCAGCACAGCACTGACATCTGTATATGAATGAGTAGCAGGCTGGCTGTGTGATCATTACTAACAAAAGAATTGGGAGAAAAGAAGAACCAGCTCCTTTGAGTTTAGTACTGCACAAGTAAGCCCCCAAGTAATTACAAAAAGGTGGAGGGAAATAGGCCAGGAAGACTCTGATTTAAAGTACCGCCTATAATACCCCAGATTAAAAAGGACCTAAGACTGCACATCAACTCTAATATTTGGCTGTACTTGCATTGCCCTGCTTGGCATTTATTAAATGGCTCTTTCCTTAAATTTCACACATTGGAACAACCACAATTAAAACAAAAAACAATGCAGATAACACCAAACATCGGACAATATTAAAACCACTAACGAAGCTTCGGTAACAGAGGCAAGTGTTAAGGGCAAAGTGAAGGGAGGTTTTCCTTTTTATTTCAAACTCTCACCCTGAACTTGGGATTTAAGCTCTCACTCAGCTATCTAAGAAAGTAGATCAAGACCTATCAGTTTCATACAAAAATCTCACGCCTAAAAAAAAAAAACAAAAAACAAAAAACAAACAAAAAAAAAAAAACCCACCACCAGTGTCAAAAGAAATCTAAGAAACTGTATAATCTGCTCAAGACCAGAAACAGAAACAAGATACTTTGGTAAAGAAACAGCTTCATAAGTACTAGGCTTCTGCTTGGTAGAGAAATCAACTGGGGTGGGGGGAACTAGGTAGTTAAAGACAACTAACTGTAATACATTTCAATTCTCAAGGGTACTCTGAAATAGAAGAGGTTGTGTGTGTGTTTGTTCTGTACCCCCTGAATCTTAGTAGAGGGAAGGAAGACAAAAGTAGGGAGTAGAGGGGAGTAAGGAGAGGAAGGGTTTGGAAAGAAGAGAAAATATCCCTGGTTTTCCACAGGTATTTTGTCATTAAAAAAAAAAAGTGTAACTTCAAAACTACAGCACTCTACATGATTTCATAAGACAGTCAGTCCCCCAAGGGCCCTGTTTTTTCCACTTTAGGCTCCTTATAAAAGTTCAACCTGGCAAGGTTATTTGCACAGGAAGCCAAACCACACAAATGAGGGTTTTATCCAGAGTGCAGTGAGCAGCTTTGAAGTCCTTGGCTGTTCTTATCTGCCCTATCCATGCACCACTCTTCTCTCAGTGACCAGTTTAAAATAAAAAGGATAATTCGCCAGAGGCACATTTTTTTTTTTTTTTTTTTTTTGGTTTTTTTTTAAGCTGTCTTATTTTTGCTTGGATGCCAGGTACTTCTGATTTCACCTATTACCAAAGCAGAAGCTACTTCTGACCACTACCACCACCTACAGGAACAAAACCGTATAAGCTGGTTTTATCATTATGACAAAAGCTCTTCCTGGCATGAAGAAAAGCTGAAAATGACACATTAGAGGGCAAAAGTTACCAAGTGCAATTGCCCTCAACGCCTCTAGGGAAGAAAGCAGCATGGGAAACATAGTATGGCATCAATATTCCAGCTGGGGTCTTTTGTAAAAATAAGGCTCAAAATCAAAATCAAACGCAATGTGCTAGACTCCTTAACTTGTCATAGGACACATGGAGTCATTGCAAACAGCATCTTCCAATACTCATAATTAAGAAAGTGCTGACACTGGCATCCATCCTCTGAGAATTCAACTCGTAGCAGTCAGAGAAGAGCCCAGAGCCACATGGAGTGTTTCAATCAGAGCTTTCAGGCTTATGTGTAGAGTCTGACAAATGTTAAGTGGCTACCGCACTAGATGCTAAAATGCAGGGAAAGCAGACTCAAAATACTGTGTGCTACTCTGTTGATAACGTGATTTTTAGCTCTATTCTTGTCAGGACTTCTATTGAGGATCAGCAGTGAGTACTAAAAATGTTAAACTGAAGGATGCCTTGATCATGACTCACTAGACTCACTATGCTAGCGACTCAACAGCAAGCTGTAAAATGATGCAGAAAGTAACATAACCCTTCAAAGACCACCAGCTGAATTTAAAGGTGCTGGTGCGTATCACTTCACATAACCCAAAATGGCAAGTAAGCTTTTAATTTCCACCTTAAAACAAAAGAAAAATTACACTTTGTAAATTAGAAGTATCAAATGAGAAAACTGAATTAAAAAACGTCTCACTCTACCTCCACCAGAACATCACTTTATTGTGAACCTGTCATCAACAATGCAAACTCCAATAGGTTCTCTATCCTGGTTGTTTAAAAGGTAAAAGATTACATCAGATCAGCTACTTTCTATGAAAGAAACTACAGCAATCACAGAAGAGGGAAAATTTGAAT